ACTTAGCCATGAAGGAATGGGGCCTTCAGACAACTTGCAACCTCATCTGACAGCTTAAGGGCAACTCACAGGAGGCCCTGAGCTGGAGCCAGCTAGCTAAGTTGCTCCCAGACCCCTGACTGCAGGAGTGTATGAACTGATTTGTTTAAGCTGCTAGGAGTGGGAGTCATTTGTTACACAGCAACAGAGGACTAATACACCATTCCATCTATGACTCTTCTCATCCAGCTCTGTTTCTCACACAGGCAGAATTGTCTGACAAATGCCTAAATCTGTGTGGGGCTGTCAGTCTGCTTAGCCTGAGAGACTCCACACATTTCATAAGTGACTTTGGTGTCAGAAGAGTAGTTTCTGCCTTGCCAGTCACCCTCTCTGGGGTCTGAAAACATTTAGGAAATACAAAAAGAGGATGATAGGAGCCACTTCTGGAGTGTTCCCAGACTCGAAGTTGGGAAGTCTCTGGGTCACTACGTTCTCACCTTCCACATTCCGACCACTCACATCTCTTTCTCCTTCTCCAGACGGAACTGCAGCCCCACTCAGCTTCTGCAGATGCTTCCCTGTGCCAGGCCCACAGAGGCTGGAGCCGAGGCAGAGGCACAGTGGCTGGACTTGCCAACAGCCTGGCAGTTTTCATAAAAGAGTATTAGCTGGTTCATTCCCATTGGAAAAGTATGATCTGGGCCACAGAAAGGGACATCCATTGGAAAGCAAGAGCGCTTAGAGAGTAGGGGGTGCCACTCTGTACGAAGGGGACCTCATCTTCTCCAGACAGCTTCTTGCAGCTCTCTCTGCCTCAAGGGACCATGGAGGTGGCTTTTTGTGTTCTAAATTCCTTGGGGAAAGGAGTAGCCGTGAGAAAGTGGCCCTGGGTCACATCCCTTCCCCTCATTCCGTACCAAAGAGTTCTGGCACTTCCCTGTAAGTTTCCGTAGCAAAGTCAGGCACAACAGATTCTCTCTTCCTGGAAGTGCTCCAAGGCTGAGCAGGTCTCACTGGCTCTCCCCTTAGCAGGGAGAACCTGCTGGGCTTGGTAGGGGCAGGAAAAGAGGTAGGGGGCAAGAAAGGAGACAGAGGACTTGGGCTCCTCCATGATTGGCTTTTGGACCCAACTATGCCACTGACGTGAACCTAAGGATCAGCACCCTCAATAACACAAATCCACAGATACATACGGAAGTCCAGATCCTCCTGAAAAACCACAGGATAATGATGGCTTCAGATAACCCAGGCTGCCTTACTGCAAACTTTCTCTTGCTCTCATTAAAAAATCATCATCATCATAATAATAATAATAACACATCTGCATACCTTCTACATATTACCAGGCTTCAGTGTGAAATTTCCATACGTGTGTAGGACGTGCTATGATCAAGTCCAGACTCCCTTTTTTCACCCTCCTGGTCCATACTGATCACTGTTCTTGCAGGAATATGTTTTTAGTTTCCACATATGAGAGAAACATGTGGTGTTTGTCTTCCTGCATCTTTCTGTTTACTTCACTTAATCTGACGTCCTCCAGTTCCATCCAATTTGCCACAAGTGACAGGATTTCATCTTCTTTTCCAGCTGAATAATAACCCTTCACGTCTACTGCCCCCTTTTCTCACGGGGTCATCTGCTGAGCAACACATCCGGTGACCCCCTGGGCTGCTGTGAGTGCTGCTGCAGTAACACGGGCTCCAGGTGTCTGTCTGACAGGCTGATTTCATTTCCCACCACCCAGCGGCAGGCCAGCTGGACCAGAGGGTAGACGTGTTCCTGGCGTTTCCAGGAATCTATGTACTCTTCTCTCTGAAGACTATCCACATTTACATTCCTGCCAACCGTGTATGAGAGCTCCTTTTTCTCTGCATTGTCACCAACATTTCTTTTTTGTTTCTTTTTTTTTTAGTAATAGCCATTCTAACTGGGGTGAGATAGTATCTCATTATTGTTCTGATTTGCCCATCATTGATGTCTAGTGATACTGGGCATTATGTGTGTGTATATATATATCTTTTTTTCTTTTGAAAAGTGTCTGTTCAGATCATTCGCCTATTTTCAATTGGTTTTACCTGGTTTTTAAACTTTTTTTAGTTCTTCGGGCATTCTTGATGTTAACCCTTTGCAGATGGCTTGGTGGCACAGATTTCTCTTTGTCTGTTGTTTGCTGTGCAGGAGCCTTTAGTTTCCTGTTTCCCATTTGTCAAATGTTGTTTTCTGTTCCTGTGATTTTGGGGTCTTTTCCAGAAAATTATTAACAGCCAGTCTCTTGACGTGTTTCTCCTATTTTCTTCTTGCAGTTCATAGTTTTCAGTCCTACAAGTGGGTCTTTAGTGCATTTTTAATTGATTTTCTTACAAGACATGAGTAGGGGTCAAGTTTCAATTCTCTGCCTTGTGGATTTCCAGTTTCCCGTGCACCATTTATTGAAAAGACTGTCCTTTTTCCAATGTGTAGTTTTTTATTTTGTTTTTGCTTCTGTGTCTGGAGAGCGGGACCAAGGCCTTCACGATGAGCTATATCCCAGCCATTTTTATTCTTTCAATTTATTTTACTTTGTTTTGTTGTACTTCATTTTATACTTTGAGAAAGAGTCTCACTAAACTGCTACGTGGCCAAAACTGAGCTCAAACTCGCAATCTTCCTGCCTCAGCTTCCAGGAGTGCTGAGATTATAGTAGTATACCACCAGGCTTTTCCGATGTATGTTTTAAATGTCTTTGTGTATAATCAGTGGACTACAGAGGTGTGGGTTATTCCTCAGATCTCAATACCATGCTCTGTAGTTTGTCTTGAAGTCAGGTATTGTGATGCCATTATCTTTGTTCTTTTGTTCTTTTAGTTCAAGATTCCTTTGACTACTCGGAGGTCTTTGTGTTTCCATGTGAATTTTAAGATTATTTTTCTAGTTCAGTGAAGAAAGTCCTTGGTATTTTGGTGGGGGTTGCACTGAATCTATACAGTGTTGGCGGTACGGGCATTTTAACACTATTCCTCCAATTCATGAACGTGGGAGGCCTTTCCATGGTTTTGTGTGTCATCTGTTTCCTTCATCAGTGTTTGATAATTTTGATTGTTTGCTCTCATAGTTTAACAGTCAAACTCAGCTTGGATGGGGTTCTTCATTTGATCTACCCTCGGTGCAGCCAGTAAAGGCTTCAGGCGAACTCTGCCTTCTTTGTTCAGGCTCAGGACCAATTCAGGGTCACAGTAGATCAAGCTCCCTTCAGCTTCTGGGTAAACCTGTTGGGTTTAATCAGCCTTTCCAGCCACCTTCCTTCCCAGGAGAAATCAGTCTCCAAAATTGTAGTCCTCTCACAAGAAATGGCCCATATCATGGCCTAGCCTTCCACAGACGCAGACTTCCCTTCCAAAGAATCAATCTAGAAACTCCCAAACCTCCATGGGCAAAGGGAGCAGCACAAGTAGAAGAAACACTGTAGTTTCCCAAAGCAAGAAGCAAATTTTACTTCAGATATGGATGAAATGACCAGGCCTGTGCTTAGAAGGCCAAGCCATGGCTTTACTCGCTAAACATGAAAAAGGTGGTACTTGGGTGGCTTTGCATCACTGTGACAAAATATCTGAGGTTAAAAAAAGGAGGAAAGGTTTATTTTGGCACATGGCTTCACACATTTCAGTCCATGCCTGAGCCTTTCATTTTGGGCCGGTGATAAGACAGAACATTAGGCAGGAGTGTGGTAGAGCAAAGCCATTCACTTCAAGTCAGGAAGCAGAGCGAGCGAGAAGGGAAGGAACTGGTTCCCAGTATCCCTTTAAGGCCACGCCCCACAGTGACCTCATTTCCTCTCACCGTGCCCCACCTTGTAAAGGTTCTGACAGCTCAGAGAGTAGCAACCAAGCTTTCAACACGTGGCCTTCAGAGGTCACTTATGATCAAAGCCATAACAACATCCTGTGGGAAAATTACCTGTCACCTGATTTTTAAATATCATTTATATATTCATGTTTTTTAGAGGGGCAGTGGGTTTTTATTCAACAAGGAAATATTGAGACCTCTTTTAGCAAACTGCTTTTATTCTTTGTTCTTTAATTTCCTCTTCTGTGAGATTGAAATGAGTTACTGTGTATATATTAGAATTACGTTGGTGTCAGAAAATCCCCTAATACAATATTAGGCATATATTCCATTTAAGTCTGCAGGGCGTTAGTAATCTTGGCTGTTTGTCTTTTTTGTTTGTTTATGATGCTCATCTTATGGACCAACCTGATTTTATCCAGACAAAAGAGGAAGGGAGAGAATGCCAGACCCTTTAAAGACAGTCACGCATACCTCTGGCAGTCACAGACCTTGTCTCCTGATGTCCCAAGTGAACCGGCAAGAGTATGACCTCTACTCTCTGTCACTGGACATTATGCCTCCTAATGCAAGGGTTTCCTGCTGAGTGAGGAAGAAAAGGACACGGTCTGGAGCTGTAGCTCAGTGGCAGACCACTTGCCTGCCAGGCACAAGCTCTTGGGTTTGATCCTCAGCACAGAGGAAAAGGAAAGAAAAGAAAGAGGGAAAAAAGATGGATATGGGAGCTCGTGGTGGTCTTTGTCGTGATGACAAAGCTTGTTGAATACTGGAACAGTACCTGGCACCTAGTAGATGCTTCCTGCAGTGTGTTGTTCTAAGCTCACTCCTATAGCCACAATACCAGCACCTGGCCTTTCTACTGAACGCAGCCCGACTTCACAGCAGCACACGTATGCCCGTGAGACATGGCTCACAGTTCCAGGCTGTGTGCTTTGGGGGCATCCCTAGTGCATGGTCGGGGTGCAGGGTTGGGGTCGACTCTAAGAGCAGGGCATGGATTTTGCTCAGCTCCTCTGGGTGAAGCCCCGAGGAGTGAATGCCGAGGAGGGTGATGGAAAGCTGAACCCTTCAGACGCAGTTCCATAGCTGGTCACAAGTGCCAGTCATGACCCCATCTCTTGCACTAAAACAAAGAAACAAACAAACAACGAAAAAGACCAAAATGAAACGGATCATCTGTGGGCTTCCTTCCCCAGGTTCTCAGAGACGGAGGCTCATCCCAGCGTTGTCCCTTGACACCTCCTCCCCTGTGCGAAAACCCACTGCCACCACTGGGGTCCGCTGGGTGGACGGCCCCCTGCGCAGCACCCAGAGGGGCCTCGGGGAGCCTTTCGAGATTAAAGTCTATGAGATCGATGATGTGGAGCGCCTGCAGCGGCGACGGGGAGGCGGCAGCAAGGTGAGGCCACATCCTCCCTGCACAATGGCAGGGCAGTTCCCCTGCAGGTCTGGCGGGCGGATGGCAGCGGGCTCCTGTCCCCACAAAGCAGTCACTGAACAGAGACTCTGGGGAGCGCTCTGCTGCCTTTCTTGAAATGCCTTAAAGGCTCATGTTTGGGGGGCCCACAGTTTGGGGCCTTTTCTGGCTTCTTGAGATTTCTCCACCAGTGCAGACCACCATCAGCCCACCACAGGCCCTCTGTGCTTTCTAAATTGAAGAATCACTGCCATTGTGCGTCCCCCACACTCCCATGGCTGAGCTGTCCTATCTTAGGTGGCAGAAACTATGCCAAGGTCACTGCAGTCCCCCCGCACCTCCCCGGGGCCGGCTCCTTTTCCCTGACTGTGCTCAAAAGTGGCCCGCTTTTCCTTCTCCGCAACGCCACCATCTCCCTCTCTGTCCCTTTGCAGGAGGTCGTGTGCTTCAATGCAAAGCTGAAAATTCTGGAACATCGGCAGCAAAGAATCGCGGAGGTCCGAGCCAAGTACGAGTGGCTGATGAAGGAGCTGGAGGCGACCAAACAGTACTTGATGCTGGACCCCAACAAGTGGCTCCGTGAATGTAAGGCCCAGGCCCAGGGGGACACAGACCCGGGGGGCCTAACCTGGTGACATCTGGAGGCGCACCCTGGTGACGCCCAAGGTGCCATCCTGCTTTCCCTGGGAGGCAGACAGGCCCAGCCAGGAAAGAGGTGGCGAGTACTGTGCCTATGAGATTATTTCTGATGTATCTCTGTCTAAAACTCCTGAAAATGAGATTGTCCCCAGCCTGCCCTGCATGTGGCAGGAGACCACCCACCCATGAGGCTGCGTTACAAACCTCCCAGGTCACAGAGTCACACTGCTCATTTTTCCTGGAATACACAGGAATTTATGGAGCATAGGAAGAACAGCTCTGGTGTTATTTCCATTTAATAAGAAGCTCAGGGTGACAGTAACCATCTAATAACAATTCAGGACAATTTCGTTCTCTCTGAGGGCGGATTCGATTGTCCCTTATTTATTTGTTCCTAACCATCCCATCTGTACCAAGTAGAACTTAAATCTGGTTCCAGCTATTAAACTGATACATGAACCGAAGCTGGAAGATTTAGTCTGTGCCATAAAATACATTCCTGTCATTAGAAGTCCTCTTCCTCTCTGTCTCGTCCAGCTCCTCATCCAGCCACCTGTGGCCCTCTTATGAGGCTCCTCCCTTGCATGTCCCCCTCTCCTCATGTCTACCCTCTGGGGAAGACCCATAGGTGGGATCTGGAGGCTTAGATTTGTGTCCCCAAAATTGCTGGTTTAAAAAACTACCGTATGAAATCTGGGTGTCATGGCGCATGCCTGTAATCCTCACCCTCTGAAAGGCCGAGGCAGGAGGATGGCAAGTTTGAGCTCAGCCCGAGAAACTTAGCAAGAACCTGTCTCAAAACATAAATAAGGATTTCCACACATGGCACTAAGGGGCTGACAGGGCCAGAACAAGGACTTCCGCTAATACCTACTGCGGCATAAGCTCAGAGCCTCAGGTTTGCTCGCCTCCCCTCTGTGGACACCCCTTTCTTTCTGTCATGAGCCCCTAGGGACTTCAAGATCCCAGAGAATCCTTCAAGCAGGTCCTTCATTTTTACCTTTTTCATTAAAATTTGATTTTTGAAGAGCTGTTTATGCCCCAGGGGAATTATTTTCCTCTTACAAAGTCATCTTTATTTCCCCGGGATGGGAACAAGCTTAGACATCCAGACACGTGTTTTAGCTGCTTCCTGGAAACAATCGCTTCCTTCTTGCCTTTGTACATGTCAAGAAAGAGTGCTGTTTGATGCCAAGAAAAAGAATATGCAGAAAGCTACATGAAAAGGGAAATACAGATTGTTTCTTTAAGATGAACTGAAAACAAGAACGATTAAAAAACATAATGCAGGAGGCTGCAGGCTGACCGATCCCTATGGCAGACAGGCAGGGCGTTGCACAGAAACCGATGTCCCGGGATCCATTGTGAGTTTTAGGGTTTGATCCCGCTGCCCCTTTCACCACCGTCCACGGTGCTGCCTGCTGTGGTTAAGGCATGGCGGGGTTTGTTTGCTCACTTATTGTACTGGTGTGCAGAGAGCCCTGGATCTCCTTCCACTCTGGTCCTGGTTAAATTAACGGGGTGGCCTTGGAGCAAAGCACCTGGCTGTCTGTGGCTTGGGAGCTCCTCTGTGAGCCTCCATTGTCTTGGGGGTTCTGTAGCATGGCAGTTTCCAAGCCAGGTTCATGTTCCTAAGCTCCTTTTGGTTCTTAAGGGCAACTCAAGGCAGACAGCCCAAGCAGGATAGAAGCTATCATACCAACCTGTAAAGAAGGGGTGCCAGCAGAAGGGAGGTCACGGAGCTACTGGGAGTCACAGGCCAGTCTCCTGTCTTGGACATCAAGGCCACTTCTGCCACCCTTGATTGCCATCCATGCTGTCCTTCCCAAATAGGACCAGTACCCTGGAAGCCTAACCTTCTGCCCAGCCCCGGTGGGACCAAATAGGGGACCTGGGGCAAGGGGGGGCTGACCCTGGGTACCTGTTCCTTAGGAACTGGAGGATGCAGACTTCCTGTTGGCCCGGACATTAGACACAGTGTCCAGTTAGCAGTCTCAGTTTTTCAGCTGCAGGAAGGATCTCAATGCAGATCTTGTGTGTGTTCAGATTTCCTGGCTGATCAATGAGCGTGTGAGCCCACATGGGGAAGGGCCAAGTGACAGGATCAGATTCCTCGATCTGAAAGGCAGCTGTAGAGGGCGCTTGAAGGAATAAGGAGAGGGAGGAACATCCTTTATCTAAGTAGGCAGAATGTACCCACCACTCCAGGGAGGCCCCAGAAAGGGCAGGACTGTCCCCAGCCAGCTTGAAGATATCACTTCCTGGGGAAGAAGCAGAATGGTAGGGTGATCCTGCACAGATCCTAGAGTGGAGGCGGCTGGAGGTGGGGGCAGGCAGGATGTCCCCTCATTTCCCAGAATAATCTCAACAATTAAAAATCTAAAAACAGGCAATCAGGATTCCCATCCACTGTCCCACAGGCCGAGGACCAGGCAAGAAGAGGACCCCAAGGTCCTCTCCCCACCAAGCTCCTAAGGCAGGCAGAATCAGCCCTGCAGCCCAAGGGGCAGGCCCAGGAGCAGGTGGGAGCTGGGTGAAATAGCAGGAGCGATCCTGAGATGCCTCCTCCTCTCTTGCAGTTGACCTGGAGCAGGTTTTGGAGCTGGATTCCCTGGAGTACCTGGAGGCCCTGGAGTGCGTGACAGAGCGCCTGGAGAACCGTGTCAACTTCTGCAAGGCGCATCTCATGATGATCACCTGCTTTGACATCACCTCCAGGCGCCGATAAGGAGAGGGACCCCCGAAAGGCCTCGCCCTCCCAGGGCCTTCTGTGCTGGCAGCACCCAAAGACGGCAGAATGAGCGTGAAGGTTGGTGGCAAGTCTGCAGTGAGCGGTGAGCGGAAGGCGATTTTTGCTTTGTGGTCTGTAGGGAAGGTGCAAATACCAAACACGTGGAAGGAGAAAGTGACAGGAAGTCCAAGGGACACTGAAGCCCCAGGAGACTGAAGAAGCACTTTGAGGAACTTTGAAGAACTTGTTTGTACATAAGAACTGCTAGCAAAGAGACCTCGCTCTTTTCTTGCTTTGGTGAGAAAGGGGGAGGGTGGACGCAGCACCGCTGACCATAGCAAAAACAAAACGTGACCACATGAGATGACCCTGAATGACAGATTAAGTGCCTTGCAAATCTTTGTGATTATCCAAACGTTTGTGTTCATAATTTCTGTGTACAGATGGTGCTAGTCAAGATGAAAAATAACAAAACCAACAAAAAAGAGAAATCCGACACGTTTTTGCAGTGTATTTACGGCTCCTTTTCTCTCTTGGTGTTTTATCCTATTGCTGACTTGCTGTTTCTAAGCAAGCTGTGTTTGTAGAGATCTTTCCTAATCAGTATTGCATATGAATACATGTCCACTGTCTTTTATGGTTATTCTGGTTAAGGCCACTCACACAGAGCCCAGAGACTTCATCCACTCCAGCCAGCATGTTTCCAAAGAAGGTTTGGAACAGCGGGTGATGCTTCACGCCACCTCGAGGGGCAGCAGGAACAGGACACTGACAGCAAAGCAAGCACACCGGAGTTTCACTGGCTGGATGCGGAGCCTGGTTTGCATCCTTATGGGAAAGGCTATCCTTGGTCACCTGGGCCCCACCTTCTCCTCAGAGGTGGGCTGTTTGCCCTCAACTTGTCCTTTCCCCTCCCACCCCGGGTCTGATGGTTCTCCTAACATGTTTGTGCTCCTTTCTATTCCCTGGACTGAAAGCTTGAGCCAACTCAGCACAGCCATATTTCTTTGTGTTTGAGTTTTGCCCAATCACTGAAGTGGGAGTAGGGGTTGTCCATTTAGAGACCTCCGTCCCGGACCCGCTCAGTGGCTTTGGTGGTATTGCTGTAGAACGAGAGGAGGCCTGGGACTGCACAGCATTTTGTTCAGGATTCTGCCTAAAAGTAAGAAGTTCAGTTCAACCTGGGCCAAAGGCTCTGTGCTACCCAGGGACAAAGCTGGTTCCTCCTGCCCTGGCTCTCCATGGCAGAGGCTTCGCTAAGTCCTGTTTTCCTGGGCGGGCAGAGCAGAGGTGAGTGAATCTGGATGTCCAGCTCTTGGCTCCTCTTTCTTGAGTTACACCAGCTCCCTCAGGCGTGTGACACTACATAGGGACAGAAACCCAGAGCCAAAAGAAAGAAAGAAAGAAGGAAAGAAAGAAGGAAAGAAAGAAAGAAAGAAAGAAAGAAAGAAAGAAAAAGAAAAGAAGAAATACAGGGCCACAGAAGTGAAAAGGAGTCACCTGGTATCAGCAGTGGGGGAGCAGGGCACTGTGGGAAGACCAGGAGCGCTCCTGTCCCTGTGACAGCCCTCTGCTGGAGCCTCTGCTACCTTCCGGTGACACAGCGCTCTGCGACCCACCCAGAGCACTGCACACCTTTGCCCTCAGACATGCAGACCTTCCAAGCCTGTTCCAGGACAGGCCCCCCAGGGAATCCCCCAGGAGAAAGTATCTTTGCACTTGGTTGTACTTCTGGACGCAGGTAGCCCAGCACCGCTGACCAAACAGACCAGTGGGGTTTAGCAGGACTCAGTCAATGGGAACGGAAGGATTGTGAGTGTCAGAGTACTTACTGGTCGTGCTGGCTTCCAGAGTACTGGAAGCCAGCTTCATGGGTCACAATCCAGCCTTGCACAGTCTATAAAGTTCTGCTCCTAAGCAAAAGCAGCCACACAAGAAATACTCAAATTGCTCTCAAGTGGACTAAAATAAGGTGAAGGGCCACTTGGAATGGATCATGTCTGCCTCTCGGCATGCTAGCATGTTAGCAAGTGTGTTGCGTTGGGCAGCTCCCCTCAACTCTGAGAAGCAGTCCCATGGCCCTGAGCCCACCTCTGGCCTCACAGCATGTGCATAGATGGGTTTGCTTTACAGCAATATTCTTGGAAGCTTCTGGACCTAAGGAAATGCCAACCCTTCAAGCTTGAGTTTACCATTTGGCCTCCCTTTTGATTGCTGGTTGGGACTGTAGCACTCTATGAAAGGCCTTATTTGGGGGTCTTTCAAAGGTGAGTATGCCGTGGTTTTTGTTAGAAACACATTCCCTTGATTAGTAATCAGTGAGCTTGGCCCTCGCCCCTGCCGCCTTCTCCCTCTGCCCTGAGGTCCTCATGCTGCAGCATGGGTGAGACCAAGTGAGCAGCGCGTGGCAACATCTGAAGAACTCGGAAGCTGCAGACTGGCAGTGCTCCTGGGGGTGTGGCCTGCAGCTTTCTTCCTCCCTAAATCTGCTTGAATACATTTGTGACAACTCTATGAGACAACAAAAGTCCGACTGACATGAAGAATTGCCTTACCAAGTCGGGTTAGCTTCCCAACAGGCCAATCAATCCCACAGAATGCTGCAGGCCAAGCCGTACAACTGTGTGTGGGTGTCATGTGTCATGCTTTCTCTTTTCTTTCTTTCTTTCTTTTTTTTTATGGACCTGAGTTATCCACAAACACTTTCATTTACTAAATATTGATAAACCATGTAAGGGAACCAAGCATTTTATGTCATCACGCAGTTGTTCCTGGCACAATGAACAGGCTCTCCAAATGATAGTCTTTAAACAAAAAGATGCAGGTGCAACCAGCTATTCTGGAGGAAGTGAAGAATGCCTTGTCCTGTCCAGATGTGGGTGACTCCAGGTCTCCTTTTGGTTTTGGTGATAACCCCCAAAGGCAGAGGGAGCATCCAGGAACTCATTTCTACTCCATCATCCGCAAATGAAAGCACCATAAAAGTGTTTCTTTGAAATTAACATTTAGATGAGTTAACCTGCCACATAGACACACACACCACACACACACACACACACACACACACACACACACACACACACACAGCCCCTATTCCAGCTAATTTAGTATGAGGCAGAAGCTTTGGCAGCACAGATAAACTATGATCCAAGAAAGGGAAGTGAGAGATTGTTTCCCCAGGAGCAAACTCATATTGCATTTCATAACAGTGCCTCGTGCTGCGAGGGAGCTGTAGTTTGCTTTGTCCCGGGCTTTCAGCCACACCTGAGAGTTGGAACCTTTGATCTTCTTGTCCTTGAATTCCCCTCAACGTGGCAGGGAAGCTGTCTCTCACTTTCATCTCTTCCAGGTTTGAAATCAGCAATCCTGCCTGCTGTTTTAGCTCCCAGTGCTATTGTGAACATAGGGACCATGAGATGCAAATGTAGAGTGGGCTCCATGGCGACAGAGGTGGGACTCCAAGCAGGAAAGGGTCTCCTACAGTAGATGCTGGGATTAAAAAAAAAAAAAAAGGAGAAAAAAGCCACGCAGCCTAGAGTAGAGTATTTGGTGGCAGGAATTTGGCTCGATGTGTCATAAATTACCCTGAAGCTTGAAATCTGTGTGCATTAAAGTGGCAGTGACTTGATGGCCCCCACATCTACTGTCCAGAGTGGTGGTTCAAAAAGTCTCATCTATGCATCCAAGTCCTGTGCTCGCTGTCAGAATTTCCATTCAAGTGATACACAAGTAATGCATTGATGCCGCTTGGGTGTGTATCTAATATCCTTATAAAGCAGCCAAGTTTTGGGGCTTCATATACTAGTATACACATTCTTTCTGGTGAACCCCTACGCCTTCAGCACAGGCATTTCTATTTAATCCCAGCCATCAGACCGTGCCTCGGGGCAGAAGGCCACACAAGTGAGAGCCCACCACTCATTCAGCATGCACAGTCTCTGCCGGGGCTGTTGGCCAGTGGTAATTTGTCATCGAGCCTTCCAAAATCATGATGCATTGAATGTGTTTAGGTTCCTTATTCCATCAGGGATTTTAGCGTAACAAGATGACTACAGATGAGTTCATTTCAAAGTTGGAAGCAGAGGATTCTGAAATTAGTCGTTGTGAAGCTTATTAGCCCATTCTGTGTATATGAAAACATTTCCTCGCTTTGGAAGGCAGTAACTCTAATCTCTGATGCCAGGCCAGTCAGAAACAGTATGAAATCCTGAGGGTTCCAGGTTGTGGGCGGCTGTTGACTAAACTGTCCACTGCCATTGTCCCTGTGGCCTCTCTGCTGTGACCTAGCTTTCCTCAGTGCAAGGAACATTGGTGCAGAGAATAAAGCCCAGCGGGGCCCTCTGTCCTCCAGGCCATGTGAGACAAAGCTGTGCACCTGGTTTCACCGATGCTGCCAGGAAATGAATCTAAACTATTTTTTTGCGGGGGGGTCAGGTGGTAGAAATACAGTATTCCTCTGGATTAGTATCTCTTTCTCCTCCTCTGGAAGGTATCTGTCACCATGTGTGGGTAAAAATTCATCAAGTATCACTTTGCAACCTTCCTGACAAAATAATATGCTTGTAAATTACAAATTGTTATTTCCACAATAATAAAAGCAGAATTCCAACTGGGGAAAGCTAGTAAAACCTTAGCTTATGATTGCAGAAAAGCAGTTGCTTGAACATTCCTAAAGCTTAATTTAGTCAGCCCTAAACAACCACACTCTGCTTTGGGGTGGCCCTGTGCAGAACTGGGTCTCCTGTCATCATGCTGGGCACAGAGCTGTCAAGACTCGATTGCATCTAATTAGCAGTCTTTATAACAGCCAATCCCAGGTCTAAGTGCAGGGGCCCCAGTCAGACACCAGTGCGCAGACAGAATTTTAAGTCTCATGGGAGTTGGAGATACAGCTCAGCGGCACAGCACCTGCTTGCAAGAATAAGGTCCTGAGTTTGATTCCATGTACCCAGAAAAAAATAGTTTCATGCTTTCCCTTCCCACATTGCTAACATCCCTCATTGTCCTATTCAATTTATAAAATTATCATATATTTGCAAACTCAGAATGTTGGTGTATGTAGCACACTGCCTGGTTTTCCGGCAGTGGTGGTGAACCTATGCACACGCACTGCAGGGCTGACTCGTGGAACCCTCTAAGAGTGTCACCATCACTGTTTTAGGGTTTATTTGCGCATCTTGCTTGGAAATGTTCTCCACATGCGATGTGTTCAAGGGTGAAGCTTGGTAGATCTGTCTGTGGCTATGTATTTTTCTGGTTTTCTCACTACTAAAGCCTGTTAGCACAGACATTAGCCAAGGGGCAGGGAGGATAAATAAATCAGTAGAACAGGGATTAGGGCCCAAGTCTCAAAGTACAGAGTTTAGCGCTAAGTCTCAGCTGTTTCTATAGTAAGTAGCCAAAGGGGAAAAGTTTTTTCCTTTCCAATTTGATGGTAATGAGCTTGGAAATCAGCTTCCATAAGCCTGGGTAGAAGAGGGTCCGGCCTTTTCCTCCTGGTTCAGCAGTGAGTATCCGAGAAAGTGCTGACAGTATTACTACACTCCTGCATTTCTTTAAGCTCCTGACCCTACCCCTGTGCAGCAGACATGGGCTGGGCAGGAAGCTGGAAATTCTTACCTTGGATATACACCATAGCTATTTTGTTTCTTTCTCTCTTTTTTTCCTGGCAAAACCAAAGCACTCACTTTAGTGAGTCTTACAACCTGTAATACTTAAGGCGTCGTGTCCCTTCAGTGGATCCCTGACAGCCAGTTTCATTTGAGAGGCAGCTAAACCTGGGAGGAAAACCCTTGGGTTAGAAGCGGGGGACTCTGGTGCTAAGTCTGGTTCCATCACTAGCTATGCAGCCTTGGATGAGTGACTTGATCTTGCTGGGTCTGAGGCTCCCCGGGAAAAGGTTGAGGGGCCATAAAACTGTCTTTCTGGGATGGGGTCAAGAGGAAAAAATGGAGGAACAGATGTGCTTCGAAGAAAGGAAAGCTCTCTATAGGATCTGGGAGATCATTTATAGATGAAGAAACTAATGGCGACAGTCATCAATTGGCCCAAATTCATAGAATATAGCAGAACTGGGACTTGAGTCCAGCACACTGGACTCTTCCCATTAGGAAGATGGCATTGTATTGTGTGTGTACCTGAGTGCACGCATCACTCCTCTGTACCATTGTGTGTGTACATATGTGGAAGCGTGTGTACAGAAGGTGTATGACACGGAAGAGCATGGGAAAGAAAATCTGAGTTCGAATTCCAGTTTCTGTAGACCTATCTAGGGCCTCGGATAAACGACCAACTACTCTGAACTCAGTTTTCTAATCTGTAAAATGAGAACATTGTGCTAAATGACCTGTGTGGTTCCTTCAAGCTTTAGCTCTATGGTTCCATGATTAGTAATGTATGTATGTATATATAAATATGCTTATCTGTAGAAATGGGCCCATTGGAAAACTGGAGACAAAGCCTGCCCAAGTGCATTTATTGTGTTGAAAACAGTGAATTCACAGACAAGTTCATAAAACTTTGTTTTTTTAAAAGTCAACAGTAGTATTGATATCATTGTTTTAAATTCACTGTTTAACTGAATAGCAGATTGATGCTGTTTTAAAAATTAAGCTCTTAGCTCATTAGTGTTTGCTGTTAAATTTTTAAAAAATAAATAAAGTTCCTTTGTCGAGGTTAAAAATGCAACTATCCATTCTTGGGCAGATTCCAGCAGCCTATCTGCAGGCTGGGTTTCATATGTGGGCCTTTACATAGCTATATAAAAGTAAGCTGTTGGCTTGGTCATGATAGTTATGAGGAGGCTTCCTAGAGAAGAGTCTGGGAAAGAGCATCATATAGTTCTCACAAACTGGTGACCTGCATTCGTTAAGCTGTGCCTCATTTCCCATGTGAAGACATTGTTTGCTGGCTACGATCTCTGACTTTTTGTGGCATAATGAGGTGTAAAATGTTGTCAAACAAAGAATCTGGTGTTTAAGAGAATCAAATTATGGTGGCATTAAATGTTCACTTTTATTCTACCTGGAGTCATGAATTCCTCTCGATTCTGTTTGTCCTTCTGCACACAGGGGAAAGTCATTCCAGGCCAGGGGTGGGTCGTCTCATTGTACCAACACCTTGTCCCAGGCCTTGGGGCATCCTGCCAGGAGGCCTGTCTGAGCACCCTATGGCGCTGGCCTTGGCAAGTCCAGAAGCTCAGCCTGCAGCGGGCAGGAGGAGAGGGGGCTGTGTCACAGGGCCCTGCATCTAAGAGCTGGTACTGGCTGGTAGCCACACATGAAAAGCTTGGTGTCAGTGTTTTGGTAGCCTAAAGATTCTCCCTCAATCCAGCATCTTTGGGGCTCACATAAAATCAGGGCAGACACAATCACTGCAAATGATTTGGGCTTGGACATATGGGCTTCTTACTACATGAGCGACTATCTCAGCTATAACTGGGCACATTCCAGAAACATCAGGCTGGATGAAAGCCTCATAGGGTAGTACCCGCCCCTGGGACAGCCGGTCACTTCCACTCTAGATGTTTTTACTGACAGCCGTGAGGCACCTTGTTAGGGGTTGCCACCATATCCATCCAGTCACCTGAGTGTGCCGCAGTCTCAAGGGACAGGGCTGGGTGCCCACCAGAAGCTCTGGAACCGTCTCCTGCCCCACTGAGCTGGCCTGGCATGGGTACCTCCCACGCTTTCTGCTGTTCTCCCCAAATATTCAACAAGAGCTTCACGGGCTCCCTTTGGGTCACCTGAGCAGAATCCAGAATTTAGGAAGCCACAGGCATTTTTAAAAATAAAGCCATCAACCAGAAGATCGAGCAGAAGTTCTGCCTGTTGGATCATGGCCTTGGGGAAGACAGAACACAGGGCAACCTCCAGAAACGTTTTCTGTCCCTTTGCACATCCATCTTCAGCCCCCCATGGGTCCAATGGACCTATAACAGCACCTTGTCCTAGGATCACACCAGGGTCTGTGCCCTTGGGGAGGGTAACAGGTAGGGACGTGTAATCATCACAAGCAACTTTTTATTGAGCCAACAGCTCCCCACACGTACAATCTCAGGCATGTCTGTCTCTAAGTATTACACTCTCAGAGCTGCTAAGACTTCTCTTTTTTTCCCACTCTGTGGTGTGAAGGAGGGTGTTAACCAGTCTGTCTGTGGCCATTCTGTCTACTCCGGCACCACAGTGCTCTCAGCCAGACGCCCAGGGCCTGGGAGGTGATAAAAACAAAGCCAGGCACCCTCTGCCCTGCCATGGCAGCTCAGGTTGTTTCCATACCTAGTGGGAGACTCTGCCTCCATGTCTGCTGCCTGGCCTGGGCCTTGCACTGGCTCTCCTGGCAGCAGGAGTGGTCCCCGGAGAGCCCTAGTAAATATGCAGAGCACTTGGAGTGCAGACATGGGGACGTGTCAGAGGTCAGGATGCACCTGGCGCCCAGTGTCTGCTGCTCCATATTGGGCTTCTAGAACCAAACTTGGAACACAGCGATGCTCACCAACATTGCAGAACAATTCAGTCAATAGACCTTGGAGAAGTCACAGAAAAACCCAGGCAGGAGAAGTCCCCAGGTCACAGGGCAGGAGGAACACTGGCCCCACCCAGGGCCAAAGCCGCATCCCTTCACTGTAACCAGAGGCTTGAGCTGGAGCTTCCAGCAACTGTTAAATGCGCGACTCTGCAGGAGATGAAAACACAGTGTCTGTGCCTTTGGACCCTTGCTCGATACAGAGCAAACACTGCACAAGACCTTGTGGCACGCCTTGTGCTCTGTCCCAGACATTCCCGGTCACTGGTGAATCAAAACACTCTTTTGCTTTATGAGTTCTGATGGCTGCACACAGAAACTCACTACAAAACAGCCAAGTCAGGGCCTCCGTCAGCAGGGTCCAGGGCTGTGCCCACCCACAACCCGGGCTCCTTCTCCCTCAGTTTGGGCCCTTGGCTGGACCTCACCTCCAGAAGAGTCTGATAAGGTACATGAAGCTGAGATGAGAAGGAGAGGGAAGGGAGGAGGAAGAATGGGTGGAGGTCACTTGCTGGGTGAGGTGATCAGAGGCCACCATGCTGCCACCCACAGGAAGCTGAGCGGAGAGTAAGTGGTGCGCTGCTGGTTTTATTTTTCATTTTATTACACTGCCCTTGCTCCTGTTATCCTCTGTACCGTTTCCCTCCCCAGTGGTGCCAGGGTCCACACGTGTAAATGGTATACCTGGTACGTGCTCGCAAGACGACACAACACAAAGGCTTTGTGTAGAATCCAATGAAGCCTGAGGGTTTCCGAAGAGCCAGTGAGAGGACAATAGACTGCTTGAGTTTTAAACTGGACTTTGAAAGGTTAGAAATATAAATAAAAATTACCTTTAATGTCATTCCAGAGAGAAACACAAGCATGCACATGTTACATCATTCCCTTGTGGAATTTTTCCCCCCTTAGGAATCCTCCTGTGCCCACTCATTTTCCTGCCCGTTCACACCTTAGTCACAAGAGTGGCCACGGGAAGCCATGACACGTCAAGGGGATACCATCTCCGCTGCTGCCCCCTGCTACGGGACCTTAACATTGCGCCTGCTTTCTCATTATTACCAGTTACACCCTGATCAACACGTGAACCGGAGTCTCATTTTGACTTCCCTGGCACATCCGCAAGGATAAACTCCCAGAAGTGAAACAGCTGTAACAGAAGGAATAAAACATTACAGGGCGTATTTAAAGGGTGTTTTACACACGCTGAGCGGCCGTGCTTCAAACTGTCCAACCCGAATGTTACTAGATAACCCCATACACAGTTATCGCTTCCTGTCTGAACTTCCATTTTCCCATCCACTTATTTATTCGACAAATGTACGTTAAGGAGTTCCTGCTTGGGACGGGGTCCTCCTACCCCTGTTTACCAAGCTCCCAGTGTGTGATCCTTTGTATTGCATGCAGGGCCCGTGTATGTATAAATATTCAGTTCGTGGAAATGAAAAGCTGTTTCGATGGCCCTCGGAGGCTAGGACAGAAAAAAGCACAAAATTGGATTAATATTCATAGGGTTTAGGCAAAGCCATCAAAGGGAGTATTGAAGGGCGTAGAGCTCTGGAGGCTGAACTCAGAGTCTTCATACTGCTGTGTCCCCAGCCCTTTTTTGGTTTTTAATTTTAAGACAGAATTTCACTAAGTCACTAAGTTGCCCATCCCGGGCTTACACTTGCCATTTCCTGCCTCAGCCTCCCCAGAATGCTGAAATTATATATGTGCCCATCACACCATGCTAAAAGAGGAATTTCATGCACAGACTAAGTATAAATTTTCTTGGAACTGCCATGGCGATTCTGACCGCATCTCCAAGCTCTGAGGACTTTTGGCTCAGGAGTCCTGAAGCCTGGAGTGGATGCAGGTGACATTGAGAGAGTCGTTGAGCATCTCTGGACTCCAGTTTCTCACCTTTGCATAGCAAAGTCAATCCTCTCTGTGCACCTTCCCTTGGGCTGCTTCTGCAGATGGGTGACGGCATGGCATGACCCAGCAAGCCCTCACCAGATGCAAGAGTGAGTGTTAGCCTTTTGCGGCTGCTATAACAGCATCCTATTGACTGTGTCGTTTATAAACTGTAGAATACGTTTGGCCCAAAGTTCTGGAGCTGGAAGTCCAGGGCATGGTGCAAGCATCTGGGGTCAGAGGTCAGGGAGGCAGAGGACTTGCAAAGCAGAAAGGACCAGCTCAAGCAAGACAGCTGGCAATGGCCTCGACGTATGATGACCCTCACTGCTACAGGGCCCAGCTCTCAATTCTGCCACAGTGGCAATTACGTCTCCTCCCAACCACCTTCTGGAGTGGACACTCCAAGGTACAGTAGCCTTTGCTCTGCCCAGCTCTGTCTGGTGCCTGATGACCTGGGATGAAGGAGTCACTCAGCATGCATCCAATTCTTTCATAAATGTCAGCAGCCTCCATCTATGAGAAGTCAGCAGAGCTACACATCCCACTCTCCCTAAACCTTGCCCATGTGGGTAGGTTAATGAAAAAGAGTGTCAGGAGTCTGAGGTGCACATACACACCTGTGAGCAAACAAGCCGCTCCATGTGCCGGGAGGAGGCACATGGGCTTGGGCACCTGGAGAGGCAGCTGCAGGGGAGCCTGCTGTGACAGCAGGAGGAGACGTTTCCATAGCACCTGGAAGGCACGTCTGTCCCAACAAAGCATTGTCCTAGAACCCAACTCCAAAGGTGACAGCTCCTGCCTTGTGGGCTCCTTACACCTGCGCTCTTGCAAGGATGCCAGCCCTCTTTAGGATTTTCGGGTCCTCTTGTTTGACCAAGAAGAACCATTTTCCAAAGCCTTGTATGTTAATTCATGGTTAAGAGTCAGATAAATTGGTTGCTGTCACTGTAACAAGCACCCGAGGTAATTAATTTATGGAAAGGAGAGGTCCATCCGGCTCACAGTCTTGGAACTTCCAGTCTGTTGTGTTTGGGGCTTTGGGAAGATGGTACTTCATGGCAGGAGTGTGCAGTAGAGCTAAGCTGCTCATCTCAAGAAGCAAATACAAGAAGAGACTGGGACCCACTTCCCACAGTCCCTTTTGAGGGCATGACTCTGATGACCTGAAGACCTTCCCCTGGCCCCACACCTAATAGCACTGTGACAGGGAACTGAGTTCTTACTTTCTCACCCCTGGGACAAAATAGTGACACCCACGATGTAAAGGAAGAGACATTTGTTTTGGCTCATGTTTTCAGTCCATGGTCATCTGGGTCCAAAGCAACAATGACATGGTGGAAGGCCTGGTGGAGGCCAGGAGCAGAGTGAGAAGAGAGGACCCAGTAGGGAGATGCTCAGGCCCCCAGTGACCCAGCTGTTTGGACCAGACCCCACCTCCTAACAGCACAGTTAGTGATAAGCTCTTCAGTGGGATAATCCATTGGTGTGTACAGTACCCCCGTGACACAGTCATCTTCCAAAAGCCCAACCCCTGAACACCTCAGGCTTTGGGGGCATTCTAGATATAAACCATAACATTCCAGCCCTGCCCCCAAAAGAC